TTCAAGTGCATAACAGTTTGTCAATTTGTGGGAATTTTTTAAAAAAAATATCTCTCAGTGTGGCTTAAATAAAATTATAGGCCAGTTAATCTAATTTAAACTCCAATGTCACCTGCTCTTGACATAAGCCATCTTGAGAAGTGGCAAGTTTTCTTCTTCTGGGATGGAAGAAAAGCATCACCACATTAAAACAGCACTTCCTAAGTCCCCTGGAACGTTAGGCAGAGGAAGGCATCCCCAGAAAAAGGAGATAATATTTAAAGTGAAGGAAAATTTTTCAATGTAGGAAAAAAGCCTTCTGTGTTGACACATACCTGTTGTCCCAGCACACGGGAGGTTGAGGCAAGCTGAATATTGTGAGTCTGAGGCCAGAATTGACTAAGTGTGAAACACTATATAAAATGCTCAAAAAGACAAAAACAATAATAATAATCATGATGATGATAGTAATAATAATAACTGATAATGAACCTAAATAAGAAAAATCACAAGTTCATCCCTTGTTCAGCAATCCCATGCATCTAATTGCACAGATGAAAGGTCCTGAGAAATTCTGTACTTAATACAGCTTTCTAAGTTTAATTCAATATTACTTAAAATTATCTGACCCTGGGTCACTCTTAAATCAAAAATCTTCTCCCAGTCTTCTGAATCTGTGTTCTACATAAAGTCTTTTGGAGAATGCTCATCAAGGTGATGAGCACACAAACTCCGTTGTGTGAACGCAATGCGTTGACTTCTTCCAAAGAACGAGAAGCCCACTGAAGAGATGAATTGAATTAAGAGGGAAAGTTGTGTGAGTAGTGCTGCCTTTCTTGAGCATGGCAGGGGATGCTAAACTGAGGTTCTTAGAAAATGCTGCCTTGAAAATATGAGAGGGAGAGGTGACTTTGACTCGGCTGAGTAGCAGTTCTCCGTGTTGTCACGTGATCTACTGAAACTCCAGGGACTTGTGTTCTCACCATAATCCTAAGCACTCTTGAATGCAAACAATTTCTGCAGTAGTGGCTTTCAATTGGCACTAGAGGCATCTTCTGCAACCACTGTACAATGTTCAGTACATTCAGTGGTGTGCCAGAAAAGAAAGGTCAAACAAGGAGGCTGAGTGCCAGTCGGCAGGGCATGGAGGGGGTATATGAATGGCAAGGGAACTGTTTCCCTTTTATCTTTTATTAAGGGGGATCAGGTGTTTGCCCATAAGAACTGCACTCGAAGCAACATGCAGCTCTACTCTGGAATATGCCCACAAACCAGAGAAATGTCTGTTTAAATAAACATAAAATCAGGACTATCCTACAGCGAAATGAGACAGTGGCATTTAGGAAGGAAAGGAGACATAATTTACTTGCTTTCTCCTTTCTTTCTGAATGAATGACTCAACTGTGAAAGCAATATGAATTTCCAAGAAAAAAATGTTCCTGCAAATTCTAATATTTACGGGCTTGCGAGGTAAATTTTCTAATTTCCACCATGCCAAGAAAGGTATGTAATGGAGGCAATTTTTTTCAATACCTAAAATCCTGTCCTAGAAGTAACTTTTAAGACTTATTTAAAGAATCTGGGTGAGCATTATTTCTTGGGAGAGCATGAATCCTTTACTTGGGAATGCTCATCTGAACATTGGTGTTTTTCTAGAAGGACCAGCAGGGAATTATCATCTGCAGTCATCCCAGTGCTCTGGATCTCCTTATTTTGAAACTTTTCATTTGTGGCGACAGCTGCAAGGTGTCCCTTCAAGGATTTTCCTTTTTTGATTTATACTTATATACGCTCAAATCTCAATTGAGATATCCTAGCTTCATTCCATTTTCTGACCTTACTCTATCAAGCCAGAGTGACCCCCAATCTCTTAGGACTGGGATACATTCCAAACCAGGTTATGGAAGAACAAGGCCAGGGAATCAAAGCCACACATCACCCCAGTCCCAAGGAGACACTTCACGGAGAGCAGAGCGAAGGCCAGCCAATTGGCAGACCTCATTTATTTGCCCATGTGAGAATTCTTAACTCTTCACCCTTTGAACTTTTGACATTACTTTTGAGTGTTTGAGTACTGTTTATACCAAACACAAGAGCCAGACTGATGCACTGTTTGGCATGGATATTGGCCTCATGGAAACAAATGTCCCCCTTTTCTTTCTTTCTTATATTTTTTATTTGTCCAGGATAAGAATGGACTGTGCTGAAGTGCAACATAGTTGCTGACATATTGGTGAATATTCCACACATCTGTTTCTGGTTATTGTTCCCCTCTTGACACACCTGTCACTGTATCCGTGAAGTGAGGAGCGTCAGATAACAAACTCCTCTGAGTCTGGCCAGATGGGCATAGTGGCCAGCGAGACTGTGGGATGATCTATCTGGAAATCAGCAGAGATGGAGCTATACTGTGCATGACACAAACCCTACCTGCATCAAGACGGTTGCAGACTTCCTTCCCTCCAAATACCTGCCCTGGCTGCCAAGGAGACAGAGCTTCTCCCTGCTAAATATAGATTTTAAAACACTGATTTTACTAGGACAGTCATGTAGTTTTTGGACAAGCTCCCAAATGATCCTTGTTTGTTACGGCCCATGAAAGGTGGATGCTAAGCCTGCACACAGTGACTGGGCAGCTGATGAGTGCAGTGTACCAAGTTGCTCCTTTGGTTGTTAATCCTGTTACACTGAATCGCTAATGAAGCAAATTAGTTTATAAATGTTTGCAGCTTTAGAAGACTTGCTTCCTTGAGTCAAGTTGCCAAAAAGAGAAGAGCTGCTGACGTCTTCCATGAAGATGCAAAGAAATGGCAGTGCCATTGTCATTGCAGAGGTTCAGGGAAGAGATCAGGTCTTTAGAGTGTGAGTCAGATTCATGGTATGTTTAAGAATGGGGGGGGAACCCTACAGAACAATGCCTTAACTTATTTAAAAAGCAACTTAGGTTGAAATCTTGGCTATTTCTAGACCCCAATCCATGCCCTATCAAACAGTCATTCTCAGTAAATAGTGAATAAGAGGGACCAAGATTGGAAACAAAAGAAAATAGCATCCCCTGCCTTTCCAATAGTGCCTTGTGATAGTTGCAAGTGTCCGGTGAATTGTCCTATTTATTCAGCCTTTGTTTTTCTTTACTGTAGACTCTTAAGGTCGCCCTATTGCCTGTGCAATTCAATCTGACTAGAGTTCACAAAGGCCCTGCTCTCTGCATACAGTACACCACAGGATTGATTTATAAACCATGGTCCCAGAGCATCCCAGAAACGGGAGTGAATTGAGGCTTCTAAGTGCACACAAGTGCTATGAATTCCAATGTTAGGATAGCATGGGAAATGTCCCCAAACTCATTTCCTGCAAGGGAGAATGGGGATGCGGTTGGAGGGAATGAGGGAGGATGGCAAAGCCCACAAGGAACGAGGTTGGTACCCAATTAGCTTCTTTTCATATTATGGGTTTAGGGAGGCCAAGGAATCCCATGATAGTTCCAGTTATTTTCACGTTGGCAAAGAGGAACAATATTGCTTTTTAATAGTGTGAGGTCGGAGGAAGAAAAGGGGCAGAGAGAGGGGAGGGGAGAGCGAAGGAGGTTTGTGAATGCACGTAATTCCCTGGACAGGAACATTTTTTTCTTGGAAAAAAATGAAAGAAAGGAGATTAAAAAATTGATAACTTGAATGTGTGATCAATAAAAATAATTATCATCTTGCAGCCCATTTTTCATAAAGTGCTCGGTGGCCTGAAAGTAATTCTGACATAAGAGCCAAGCACTCAAAATGCACAATTACTGAAACTCTGTCTTTCTAAAGACAGACTCCCCTGTTCAAATCTCTATGCTTTTCCCCCCTTCCTGTCTTCCACACTCAACCGTTTGGTCTAAAGACAGTCAGGGAGCTAAATATATATTAATTAGAACTCTTGGGGCTGGCATCCGAGGGATACAATTATACCAAACGGATGCCATTCCGGGCTCTGATAGCTTCATTTAAATTCCTGAATAAAACATGAAATATCTTTAATGAGAAATGAATATAGTTGTCAAGAGGGAACAGTTCTGATATTGTTACTAGTTGAGATATAGAAGATAAAGACATAATGTGAATACCTTCTATTTTATGTAAAAATGATGCTTGTTAGAATAGACACATCCCTCTTCTGAGACATCAGGCATACTACAAAATCATATATATATATATATATATATATATATATATATATATATATATGGAGAGAGGGAGAGAGGGAGAGAGGGAAAGAGAGAGAGAGGAAGAGAGAGGGAGAGAGGGAGAGAGAGAGAGAGAGAGAGAGAGGGGAAGAGAGAGAGAGAGAGAGAGAGAGAGAGAGAGAGAGAGAGAGAGAGAGAGAGAGAGAGAAAGAGAGACAGAGAGAGAGAGGAACTCCTAGCAGCACGGGCTTCTCCCAGGGAAGCAGAGTCACAGAGCTTCTGTGAAGTCGGAGACACGGGTACACTTTGTCTGTTCTTACGAAAACAAATCACCTCCAGCAGCAGCAGGGAGAGTAAACACATGCACTCTGTCAAGTAAATCACTGCTTCTTATTAAGCAAGAACTGGGCAAAATGTGATAGCCATAAGCACATTTTTGTCAAGAGCACAAGGGAGAAATAGGTGCACATTAATACTGCATGCCTCCAATCTCTTCAGGGTAGTCGCTGCTCAGTACTACAGGAGGTGTGGAAGAGCAGAGGCAAACTGGTCTGCAAAATCATACTGTCAAGGAGATGAGAATGGCAGTCTCCACACACTGCCTCTGCCTCGTCTTTGATCAGCAGCCCTTGAAAGCCTATGCCTGAGCCCCAGGCTCCAGCCAAAGGCTATTCACCTGTTGGGAGTGGCTGGGATTTTCTTCTTTTCTTTCCAGGACTTTCCTTTGGTTCATAGGGACTTTCATAATTAAAACAGCAGCATGCTATATTAAAGTGTGGGTTGTACCTGCCTGAATCCCAGGTGACCTTCAAGTACTTTAGAAATGTTGCTACTGATAACTGGGGTTTACTTTCCTTACCAGTGAATTCAGAGCTGCTTCCTCAGTTAGGGTGACAGGAGAGGTTACCATGGAGAATCTGCTGACCTGTTGGAAGCCAAACAGAAAGAGGAACATCTGTATTCCCCGGATTCCCCGGCACAGTCCTGAGCTATTATCAAAGACAAAACACCATCCAGGTCTCTTGCTGCTGTTGATCTTCTGACACAAAGGCAATGTACTGTTGGGCTTTTGCATAATTGAGAAGTCAGTAAAAGACACTAGGGTTCATTCAGTCACTGGCAAAAACCTTACAACCATGATTTTTTTTTGGCTCCACATCATTATGCCCAGTGAGTGAATGGGAGATGCTGAGTTACAAGCTATGAGTCACTGCCCTACAGAGCATGTGGACAGCAGTTTCCACACAAGGCTCTCACATGAGGATCTTTGGATCTTGGCTCCCAAAACTCTGCTTTCCCATGGGACAGAGAAGCCATTCTGATGTGTGTGTGTGTGTGTGTGTGTGTGTGTGTGTGTGTGTGTGTATGTATGTACTTACGTACGTACGTATGTACGTGTGTATGTATCTATTTATATATGTATCCATCCAGCCATCCAGCCTGGCATTGAGGATCATATTTTGAGTAACAAGAATCTAGGAATGTGTTTCCAGACTCTTACATCTTTCTGCTGGAGTAACTTCCTGCCTCACCTGGTGGAATTGCTGTTCTTTTCCATGCTGTTCAATTTAAATACCACTCCTACTACCCGAAGACTCTTAAGTGAGTTTCTTCTCCACAAAGTCCGTATGCTCTTCCCTATAGTGTCTCCTGATTTACCCAATACTGCCTCACTCACTAAACTGAAACCTCTCAGAAGAAAGCTACCTTACATATTATGTGTCTATTAGTAACTGCCATGGAAAACTGGTCCGGATACTTTCCAAATGAATGGGTGAATAAAGAAAGGAAGAAAATAGATAACATGACATGTTGAATTTTTCTGTTTATACTTTCTGGTAAAGAACAAATCCAAAGGTTTGCTTGTGTCATGCACCTAAGAATCTGGGGCACCCAAATAACAGGGGAAATGCATTAAATTGTATTTTGTATTTCTGTGAAACCAAATAACACTCGGAGCAATATGCTTTTATTTTTCACTAATGACTTTTATTTTACAAAATTGATTGAATCTGCCATTTACTTTGACCCTGTCTTTTTAGTTTTCCAGACGGTTCTGCAAACATCTTTTAGTACACAGGTAGATCGATAATACCAATAACAATCACTGCTCCCTTTCCTGCACTGTGTGGGAACTCTGCCGAGAACTTTTCCAGAGTTAAGACCGTGCATCCCTATGCCCATTGCATCTGAACCCCTGGAACATAAGAATTGAGGCATGGCCCCCAGAGCTATGGAGGTGGGCACTAAAAGAGAAATGCTAGGGCTTGTTGGCCAGCAAGCCTAGTTGGCAAACTGTGAGCTCCAGGTTGAATGAGATTATATCAAGGGAATCAAGCAGAAAGGACCAGGGCAGCTGTTCTAGACATTCCTAATGCTGCAGCCCTTTAATACAGTTCCTCATGTTGGGGTGACCCCTAACCATACAATTTTTGTTGCTACTTCACAGCTACCAATTTGCTGCTGTTATGAATCATAATGTAAAATCTGTTATACGGGATATCTGATGTGTGGCCCCTGTGAAAGTGTCATTCAATTCCCAAAGGGATGGAGAACCACATGTTTGATAACTGATGTGCTAGAGTAAGGCAGTTGATGTCCTCCTCTGACTTCTTTGTACATAACACACACACACACACACACACACACACACACAGAGAGAGAGAGAGAGAGAGAGAGAGAGAGATACATGTGTGCATACATTTGTGATACAGCAACAAAGAGTCCCACAGTCTGACTGATTAATTCAAAGCCCACTAATCCTTGTGCAAGGTTGTTGGGCTAACCTTTATCTCTACAAAAATCAAAGCAAGAAAATCAGTTAGAAAATTGTATTGAAAAGGAAAAAATAATATAGATGATGATCCCTTCCTGTAACACACTGAGGTTGGTTAATGGCTTAAAATAGTTTAAATTACAGAGGAAACATCATTAATGTCTTATGTCTAAATTTATACCATTTTCCAGCTTGGTCAAGACATAGATATCCACCTTACCCTAATTTGTCTCCAACTCTGTCTTGTCCCCAGGATAGACATTTGGTTTAGTTGTGTCATTCTAGTTCAAAGTACCCCTACTGCATTGCTAGTTGGTTTGACTTTGATTGGGCAAGGCAGGTTCTGCTCCAGCCAGCTGGGCCATCCACCCTAAGGCTGTCTTCACGATGGCAGCTTTGTCCTCAGATAGGTCCAATGTTTTATCAGTCCTCTGAATACAAATTTACAACTGGAGATGAGTTCATGCTTCCCTGCTCTAACCATGCCTACACTAACGTGATTTCAAGACACTTGCCCACTTTCTTATTGCCTATTTCCTACCAGAGAGGAGATCCTGTCTAGTTCATTCAGTGGAGACCTTGGAAATTCCTTTCTTATGTTGTGGGCAGGAGGTTTGCAGCGAAGAGACATTGTATCCTGTGTCCTCTCATTCTTATGTTGCAAAGCATAAGAGCACAGCTCTATTCTTTAGACAACTTGGTGGCCTCTGCAGCCTCAGGCTATGGATATCCTGGCAGGTCACATTGGTAGCTCTAATTTCTTCTAGGAATTAGTAGGTCCCTGAAGGTGACATCACTAAGCAATCATGGAACCAGATGTGGTGTCAGAGTGCTTCTCAGAGTACTCTGCCTAGAAGTCACTGCAGGTCAGTTGGAGCTGACATGTCACACCAGAAACCAATCTGGCACTCTCACCCTGCTACTTGATCATAAGGACCCTTTACTTCCAAGATGCCTGTATATGACTTTAGCTTCAGTAGTTTTCCCCCAGACACAATATTCCCAGACTAGGCTAGGGTATCCTATAGCTTTCTCTTTAACCACACTTCCATATTTGCGACCTTATCATTTAACTTAGTTAATTTAGTGTGTGTATGCATGTATGAATGTATGTACGTATATATGTATGCATGCATGTCTGTGTTGTATATGTCTGTGGTATGTGTTCACCAGTATGTACAGGTGTATGTTCCCCTGTTTGCATACTGAGACCAGAGGAGTATGCCCCGTGTCCTGCCCTGTCATTCTCTGCCTTAATTCCCGCAAGACAGAGTCTCTCTCTGAACCAGAATCTATGCTGGAGTCACCAACCCCATTGGTCACCCTATCTTCTTCTTCCCACACTTCCAGGGTAGTTGTGAGTGCATGTGGCCATGGCTAACTTTTTGTGGGAATGCTAAGGATTTGAACTCAGGTCTTCAGTAAGTTCCTCTCCCCCAAATCTCTTTCCTTAAGCCACAGCTAAAATGATTGATTGAAGGTCTAAAGGGTTACACACCCAAGGAAGATAACACTTTCATGTGTATTCTCATGCAGTTGTAGTGTTAACAACATTATTGACCTTATAAAATTTTAATAGTTCCCATCACTATTGATTAATGTGTATGTAGTCTGTATACAGTGGAGGTTTGAGCATGGATTTTTCCACAGAATCCTTCATGAAGCTAAAGACACTTTGTAATTTCCCCCCACATACTTTTCTTGATTCATTTTTCATACCATGACATTTGAATGATAGTTTCCAGAAATGCTGAACTGAACCAAAGTTTGAATGCTTGCGCAAGTCCTATCAGGCCCCACATTACAGGGGAATAAACTAAGGTTTAGAGTGGGAAATAAGATTGTCTTGAGCTTGTGGGAGAACTGAAGACCATGCTCTTAGCCATGACATCTTATGAGGAGAGGAAAGAAATATCTCTCCCAGGGTTTCCTTCTTATAAATCTAGTAGACATCATTAAAGCGTGTGACTGACTTATAACGCATGGTTCTACTGCTGTTTGTCTCTGCTGTTTACTTCTGCTGTTATAACCCATGGAGACCCTGGGAGCTGCGTTAGCACTCTATCAACAGTCATGCAGGGTGGGAAGGTGGAGAATATGTTTCCCATTGATACAAGCAGTATTTTCAGATTTTTCGTTCCTGTTCTTGTGATGTTATATAGCTAGGGCAGGTAAAGAATACTCTCTCCTTCCAATGAATGAAAAGCCTTCAAATTTTAGCACTGTTGTGTGGGTCACCGAGTCTGTTCTTTGCAAATTTAAGGGCTTGAGGTGTCTGCTTACAGGTAGAAGACTTCACGGGGGATTGAACCTGATCCTGGGAGTTTTCCTACTTTCTCTTCCCATAAAGAATGGGCCATGATGACATTGAGTTGGGGAACACAAGGCTAAAAGGCTAGGAGTAACCAAGACACAGAACTGAAGAGACATCAAAGATGTTGAAAGAAATTCAGCAATTCAGAAATACTAGTACAAATAGTATTTATTTTTGGTTTTACTAGACAGGGTTTCTCTGTATTGTTCTGGAGGCTGTTGGTCCAGCTGGGCCTCAAACACACAGAGATCTGACTGCCTCTGCCTCCCAAGTGCTGGGATTAAAGGCATGCACCACGACCACCCGGCTACAGATTGTATTTTAATACAAACATTTGCAAAGCTTCAAAATAATTAAAGGTTTTAAGTAAAGGAAGTTTTAAGTAAAGGAAGGGTCAGTATCAAAGATCAACTTAATTCATTCAGGCTGCTCTAACACATTAGCAGACCCAAGAGATTAAGCCTAAGCAGAGGCACTTCTTGACATATCTCACAGTCTTCTACCTCCAAGGCTGCCTGAGGCCTGATCTCACCAACACCATGAATCTCTTGCTCCTGATGGCCAAACAGCCATCTTCATCCTACAGGTGGCACCTGCTAAACTTTGCAAGCAATCCTGAAGTTTCTACCAACCAGCCAAAAAAAAAAAGTGAATCATCCACTCTGTTCCAGGAATTAGTGGTGGTAGCACAAGGAACACAGACCACTCCCACTAGAAAAATCTTATTTCTCAATGAACAGCTAGCCTTTGTTGTCTAGACTGGTCTTGTCTCAAAAATCCCCCCAAAAGGGTATAGGAAATGTATTTTAATATAAATAGTTCACATATATTTGTCCCTATTGGGTTTTTTATTGTGGTAAAATTAGACACAAGCCGTTATAGCTTTAATTAACAGTTATACCTTACAAATAAGATAGTATAGCGACTCACATAATGAAAATGCTAAAACACACATATCCAGAGACAACTGGAAGGAATGAACATTGAACACCTAGAAATGTAGATTGCTGGTGGAATATGGCTGGAAGAAAAGAGACACTACACACTAAGTAGCTGGACATATAGAATTTGTTCTCATAACTAATTTCTACCCATTAGTATCTTGGCCTATTGCCCGCAGAAAAGGCTCCACAGGCATCCTGCCTAATCGATGATGTAGCTAGTCTTACATGCTACCCTTCATACTTGAGAATAGTTTTCACTCTCTGACTAATAAATCCTCCCAATCTATACTGCAACGCTTTCTTCCATCTCCAAACCCCCAAGTCTTACTGAATAAATTGTAATTTTAGGTACATTTTATTTTTATGAGAACACTTCATATATAGTATGAACCCCATATCCCCATGAGTCAAATTCATTGTACTTTAAAACAAGGATGCTTCCCTACCTCTACAATGCAACAGATGCCCAACAAATGTGACACAGAGGGTTCTCAGTGATGAAAATGAACATCAGGTGATATAAACATTGAGTTCCTTGTATATCGTTACTAAATTGAATTACAATTTACTTACCTCTTTCAACCAGGGAAATTGTCCTGAAGATAAGCCCAGTACTTTTCAACAAATAAGTAAGGGGAAATAAATAAATGTTACTCAATGCATAATGTCATTAATTAATTATTTAAGGGGATAAATATAAACTGTTCTTAAAATATAGGACATGTAGAACAAATGGAATACAGAAAAACATTATTTTCTGGTCAGTATTTTTAGGTTAGCTGGTATAACAAGCAGCACCAATAACTCAAGGATCAAACGCAAAAAAAAAAAGTAGTTAAGATTTTGCTCATTCAAAGTCTGACATGTAAGTTCCCAACTTTTTCCTTCCCAGTAGTCATTTGGACTTAGAACCACTTAATGTCTTTTTCATTCCTCTTCTATGTCCTCTGCATTCAACAACCTGACAAGCAAAAACTGAGCATAAAGCAATCCCTTTTAATGGGATTCTTGGTGATAATCACAGAGTTTCTATGGATTTAAACAAGGGCTTCTGCATATGTGCTATGACTGTTAGCTTGGTGTTTTTGTGGGACTCTTACCAATGGGATCAGGTATGTCTCTGACTCTTTTGCCTACTCTTGAGAATCTATTCTTCCTGTTGGGTAGCCTGGTCCAGTTTTGATAGGAGAACTTTGTCTTATTGTATCTTGTTTTGTTCTGTTGGCTGTTGTCTCTTGGAGGCATGCTCTTTTCTGAAGAGAAAATGCATGGAGAGTGGATTTGAGAAAGAGGGGCAGTTGAAGGAGCTGAAAGGAATATCAAGAGGGGAAACTGTGGTTATGATGTGTTATATGAGAGAAGAATCTATTTTCAATAAAAAGGGGGGAACAGATATCCTTAGAACTTCCAACATTCAAGTTTTTTAACACTTCTAGGCAAGTTTAACTGTCTTTCAAGTCAATATAATTCTTTGTCTGGAGTTAAGGTATACCAGGAGATATACATTATACTATACCTAAACCTGACAGGACAAGCAGACATTGTTAGACAGCCACAATCCCTCCTATTCTGGAATGCTCTGTATAATTTTAGAGCAAGCACAAATCCCTTCTTCCCATCTCATAGACTTGACTGTCTCTAATGCAAGGAGTCTCTATTAGTTATTAATTACTTCAAATTACCCCACGAAAGAGTAGGTCTATAAAATCCTCAATACATTAATCTTTTGATAAGGCAGTGAACAGCACCCCAAAAGACACTAGAACAGAAACTGAGCAAGACAAAAGGTACAGCTTGTTATGAACCTCTCCCTTCATTCCCCATAATTTCCCCAGAATCTTTGTGGTAAGCAAGCTATCTGCTTCATCCACTCTTTAGGGAAAGAGATTGTGCAAGGATGAGTGCTCCAGGAGAGACATGGTGAGCCATTTTACAAGTCACATACCGCAAAGCTCATGGAAAGACACTTCTAAAGTCCCATAATATAGGGGTTGCATAATTGACCAGAACATTCAATAAGTAACTAGTCAAGAAAATGTACTGAGTGACATTTTGGTGATGGAAGGGAGAAGAACGAATAAGCTTAAGGGAGAAGAACGAATAAGCTTAAGGGAGAGAGAGGTGATCAGTACAAGTATTTACTCAGGAAGGAGAAGGCATGGTATTAAACTGAAGCCTTATTGTGAATTGTTGAAATGCTTGAAATAAATGGCTGAACTAAAGAAGACCAGGAACAGAAAGATTTTCAAGGACAATTTTAGAAAGACTCCTAAGATGATGATCATGCCAGTCGGGAGATTAACTCTGGGGACTAAATAGTAAGGTATGTGTGCAATGACTGATTATGCTGGGCTCACACAAGATCACAGGCTCCTGTTTGACCTTGGGGATTCCGATCTGAGGATCTCACTTAGGCTATCACAGATCCCACTATGTGACTAGCCCTGAGAATCCTTCCCACAGTGGGCATCAAAAATTATTGGAGTACCAGCTACAATGCACAACAGATGACATTATAAGGACAGAAAATTGAGAAGACACAAGATAAAACTCGCCCTGAAAAAGTTACAGTGTGTAATTTGGAACAGAAAAGTTACCTTCTCTGGAGATAGAAACTGCCCATATACCAAGTTCTGGGAGTGCAAGGTACCTTAAAGCTATTAAAACATACTAACAAATGTCTTAATTAGGGCAGCCTCAAAAAGCCCCATTAATCTCCTCCTGCTCCCCTTTGAAACTGCTCTCCCCACTGATGTAGCCTTGGGTTCATTTCTACATTATAAACATTCTGGGACAACAAACTTAAAACCCTCCCCAAGTGAGTTTCTACACACTAACTGTTATTTATGACTCTCAGTATAAACAATACAATAATGCATTTTCCCTGGCCTAACTTTATAAATGCATCCTCAGTTTTGCTTATCTCCCTATTCCTCCAAATAGTTTTAGATTTCTTCAAAAACGGTAGATAAGAAAGAGAATGGGTTCTTACTGTGGTGGGTGGGCACACAGAAACTAGAAAATTCTTCAGGAGCTCAAAGCTGGAGGGCGAGGAGACAGAATGGAAATCACCCTTCCAACTTCCAGTTCCCAGACCTTCCATTGCAATGCTCCTCCACGGGCATTCACTTTACTGCAAAGCTTTCCCACCTGCATTCTTTGTAGGCTGACCCTATTCCAGGTCTTGTTATCCTGCTACAGGATGAAATATTCCTTCCTACACCTAGTTTGGACGGTGAGGAAGGCTTCCTAAGTGTGGAGTGGCATCCAAGGGCTCTGAATGCCTGCTCCAGACCTGAGAACTTGGGGGGCAGAGGAGTCCATACAGAGAAAAGAGGTAAGATCTTGGTCTGTAGAGGCATGTAGGGGGTCCTACACCATCAGCATGTAAAACTGATGCCCATCTTTGTGGAGTGTGGTTGACAGAAGGCAAAACTTCAATGTTTTCCATGCGAAGTGGAAAAGCTTGAGCAGGGGAGATAGAATTCAGTGTTGAAGCTAGAGATAGACACAGTGAACATGAAGTGTATTATGGGGTGTTTTAAGAAAGGAAGGAGCAGAAGGGATGGATAGAGGGGCAGCAGAGTTCAATGTTCTAGGCTTCTGATGGAGTCAGGAGCCATGGAATTTTTGCAGTGAGGAACAGATGGTTTCCTAGTCAAGGCCGAGGCAACAGAACAGAGGCTCATTCTGGGGTGTCCCCTCACCACAGATTCACAATCTCCCACATTTCTTTAGCATTTACTAGAATGAACTTGGCATCATAGTGGATGCTCTAATCCAGGGCTTGATAACTAATCCATGGGTCAAAACCTCCCCTGTTTCCCAAGCTTTAAAGTCCTGAATGGCCTGGTTACTGACCATCTGTCACATGCATGGATCCATACCTAAAAGCATTGTGACATTTCTGCGTTCTCAAAGAACTCATGCTCATGTATGTCCAGCCGAGGACCTTTGCATCTACTGCCCCCCCTTCTAAGAGCACTGTGACCAGGGAACCATGCTACTGTGTGTGTGTGTGATGGTGTGTGTGTAATTTGCGCTACTACCTTTAAAGATGACTCACCCCAAATTACTATTTATTTTCTTCCTTTCTCTTACTAGAATGTTGGGGTCCTAAGAAAAGAGTTCTTTCTGTGATGTCATGGCCTTAATTTGCATATGTAATGCAATGTATCACACATGGCAGGTGCTTAGCACATTTATATTGAATGAGGAAGCTGAGGAAGTCCAGAGATGTAGATAATGGATAAGAAGAGGCTCTACTGCTGAAGATATGTTCCTTCGTTCTCTTCTCTTCAGGGTGCATCCTTCCTCCCTATGGCACAAATTTACTAGTTGTGAGAGAACCCACCTGCACCATTGCAAGAAGCAACTCCTTAGACAGCTGGGAATTGTAACTCGCTGTAGGCTTTCCCTGTGAGTTCCAGGCCCTCCCTCAGGAACACTCATATTGCTCTGGCCCAGGGACATATCCATAGAGCAGCCTCCACCTATATAGTTGAGGCAGAGACCAGACAGGAGGTACTAAAAATTAAACAACAGAAGTGTCAATTGGCTTCCAATCTCAGGTTTATAGACAGGAGACACTTAATGACAGGTGGCCTCTGTAACAGAGGTGGCCTTGGAGACACATTTGTCTTGATTTTATTTTTTAATTAACTTTTATTTTCAGTATTTTGTCTTTTTGCTGCCCCTACTGGAATGAAATTTAAATGATAAAAGGCTCACCATGGTTTCCAGAGGGCCAGAACAGTTCCTGCCCAGGCTATGAGTGAGGCAATCTTTACAGATCGCTCTGTCTCTGAATTCTAACACTGCCAACTGGCACACATGGTGTCCCCTGATACAGCTCCCAACAGCAGTTCTTTAAGCTAAAGAGTGCACTTCTTCACCACTTTCAATTGACAGCATCCTAATTACCTATTTGAGGCCCCCTGAAACAATATCCCTTCCTGTTAGGGGTCTTAGCCATTCTGCAAGGCATGCCAGCAAGCTGAGTTCATTTTATTCAGTGTCTAGCAAGTATTCCTGTGATATAGACACAGTCTAAGCCTTCCAGTGTGACATGAAAGCAAATGTACTCAAAATAAAAATACAGCAAGTATCAAATTGTGTGTGTGTGTGTGTGTGTGTGTGTGTGTGTAAATCAATCATACACATTTAAGGTATAATAACACCACCAAGTAAGCTATATAGGGCTTGCTCTCCTATGGATTTTGCTGACCCACATTCATAATCCCACATCATTTTCAGTCACTTGGCTGATGGTAGGGAGATTCTAGCCAACTACAAAAGAAGTCAGTGCTGAGATCTGGAGAGCTTGAATACTCTTCCCAAAATCACATGTATGGCGAATGAATGATATAATATAGATATGAACCTGAGAACTCAAACTTGAAAGGTATTCCTCTACCCCATGCAAGACCATAGCATATGAGAATTTGAAATGAGGAGAGCAGAAAGAAATATAATTTTGGAACTATAATAGAAACTAGACTGTGCAGGATCTTAAATGCCATGAAAAGACATTTGGACCTTATTCTGTAAGTCAGAAGGAAATATCAGGTTTTAAACAAAAGGTCTTTGAATGAAAGGGTTGACAGCTTTAACCCATTAGTTTGTCACTTTATTCTAATGAGAAATCGTGTGTGTGCTTTGTACATGGAGGCTCTTTCTTCCTGACTCTGTGTTACACGAACCGAATTTTTTGCAGGACTGGCTTTGCATAGCGTCCTCAATGCCCGCAACAGTGGTCGCGACGTGTAAGGCAATATGTAGTGTGTCCAACCAAGAACATACGGTTCAAAGTACATATGCTACTTCAACCTCAATCACCCAGTGACCTTCAACTAAACACACCTGCTATCCCCACACAGCACTGCCCCATTGGCACTGAACAAAGCTGCCCAAACCTAGCTCGGTCCATGGTTACCCAGTCTTCAGTGCTGCCTCGGAATGTAAAATGCTATTGGTTTACTTACAGATCACAGTCTTGTTCTGGGCTGGTGTTAGCTTCTCTCCCATCGAAAGGTGCCATCTTGCTTACCTGCTGTGCGGTTTCCCATTAACATTAATTGCTGTAGCACATGGCTCAATTTGAACAGCACTGGGAGAAGGAAAAGAAACACGATTTGCCTGTGACTACCCCCTCGCTCTTCAGGCCGGCCCTCATTTCGTTGCCTCCTCTACATTTGCTACAGGGCACTTAACCTTCCATGGGATATTCTTATGCTGCATTTTCTGTGCCACTGGGAAGGAGATGAAAGGAAATGGACTTCACCTTGGCCCCGTCATCACCCACTTATGCTTGTCCACCCTTCCTGCTCCCTAAAAGGGAAGCACACATGCAAAGAGAGTGGAGGTGATTTCAAAGGAGAGGCTTTGCAGACTCAGCTAGGCAAAGCCAAATATCTCTGCTTGGAATGTCCGACAGGTAAAGCACCCAGGTTGCTGTCCAGATAAGCATGGATCTAGTAAGCAAACAGTCTGGGACTGCACCATTCTGGATGTCTTGCTCACTGTCCCCTGAGACACTTTCCAAAGGCAGCTACTTGCATTATGTCTGCCCTCATTAATATTGTTAAGCTTACCTATTCCCATGTAACCACGTAGCTTAAAACGGCAGCTGCTTTTACTTCTAATGATGCAGTTTGGGTCAGGTTTGCGAGTAATCCCACATATTGGCTCCACCGGAGTGAGTTCTGCCAGCTCTTCTGGCAAAAACACAGGTTCCCTTTCCAAGATGGAACCCTCACCCAGTGGAAATGTGACTTCTGGGAATGGTTAAGGGAGTGTCACCGCAGTTCCTCCCCAAATAGCAACTCCTCGCATCATAATAGCTGATTTGTAAATTCCAAAATCCAAGGAACAAGAAGCAGAGGTCTGATCTGTTTGAATCTGAGCCAAATACCAATGGATGGGAAATGAATCTTGTTCTTTAAAATGTACCAAAACCTTAACTACCAACTACCAACCTTAAGGACTGTCACTGGATTTGGAAAGGGGATCTTTATAATGAAAGTCAAGTTAAGGTGCGACTACTGGGTGGGCCCAAGTCCGATATGACCGTCGTTTCTATAAAGGCAAGCATGAGGAAAGGCTACATGGGAAAACACTATATGAAGATAAAGGTAAGTTTTGAGGGGTACCAAAATTTGCCATGAAATCACTAGGGGGACATTGAAAGGATGACTAAGCATTGAGTCCTCATAAGGAAGTAATAGTTTGTGTGTATTTTGGACAAGGAGCCTCAGAACCAGGGGACAATCCATTGTCATTATTTAAGTCACCTGATCTGTGGGATTTTGGTCCTGAAGGCATAGGAGAGTAACATGGGAACACATCAATCTTAATCAAAATAGTCACAGTGCCAGCCCAGATCACAGGGAATTTCAGGAGGAGGGGCAAACAAGGTTTCTGGCCATCATTATGCCACCACTGACATGGAAGCAGGGGCTATGGATGATTTGCTTTCTACTACTCTATGTCCAGGCCTGAAGCAGAAGGGGTACTTAAGAAATACTTATCAAAAGAATATGAATGAAGTTCCCTTGGTAGTTTTAAGTTTTTGTGTCTGCTTAATTTAAAATGACCCTTCTGTATTTCTTTCTGAAAAAAAATGCTACTTAGGGAATACAGATAAAACGATACCATTGTGATCAGCAGCCCATGTGTTTCTTAGGTTGTTTTTTGTTTTTTGCATTCTAAATCAGAGTATTGCTAAGCAGTAACTGGCTAGATAGCCCCTGAATCCTCACCCAATCACGGAAGGAAGCTGAGCTTGGGTGTAACTCTGAAGACTGAAAAATGATCAGAGAATGAACCACTGCCACATATCTGGCTTCTCTTCTTCTTGATGATACCCATGGAGCTTGGTGTCCACTCAGCCCTCAGCGGTAACCCAGTGCAGAGTCACATTGGACTGGGCCTTCTTCATGGAAAGATTCAGAAACAGACTTATTCTCCTAGACTTACCTATGTTCAAGGAAGATTATGGAGAGAAGGGGGAAGAGGAGGAGGAGCTTGAGATGGTAGAAGAGAATTCGAGGAGTAGCTGATATTGATAAAGCTCCTACCATAGTATGTACTAGCGTACTAAGTACTATGTACTTAGCGTTCTCTCTCTCTCTCTCTCTCTCTCTCTCTCTCTCTCTCTGTGTGTGTGTGTGTGTGTGTGTGTGTGTGTGTGTGTGTGTGTACACGGATGCCAAGAGAGAGGATGTGGACGTTAGAGAACAGCAGTTGGTCCTTGCCTCCCCTCTGCTTTTGCACAGGGTCTCATGATTGCCACTGTGAGTGTTCTATGCGACTTGCCTTTCCCAATCATCACAAAACTCTTGTTATTATCTCCCCCATGGTATGCCAGAAGAAAATGAGCCCTAGTGTAACACACTAGTGAATATCTGAGATTACGATTCATGTTCAAGTTCTTACAAAGCCAAAGTCCATGTTACCTGGGACCGCACGGAGCTGTCGAATCAAAGCAGAGCATCTGAGCGACATCAGACAGTGCTGAGTTCACATGCGATGCCCTGGTGATGCAGCAGACGTGACGGGAAGCCTGTTGCTCTTGAATTTTTATCTCTGTTTGGGAACAATCTGTCTAGCTCATTCTCCTAATTCAACGGATAGATTCCTCCCAAAGTGCACAAAACCCCACCGTACAGTTTCATACCAATTCACACACATACATACACTTCTCCGCTCTGTGCTAGTCCAGTTAAATATACTATTGGCACTTTCTTAATAACTGTGGTCTCCAGAGAAAACCATGTGAAATGTATCAGTTTCTATCTACAACTGACAAAGGCAGGAGGAGTAAAGAGAGGGGGGTTGGCTGTTATCCCTGTGACCTGCCACACGCCCTTTCCTGGCCAGCCTTTCTTTCCTGAATAGTTCCGGCTTAAGAAATGTTTTTCACCCTGGTGCTTTTTTACTTTTCCCCATCTCAGCTTGATACTTGAAGCCTCAAAGTCTAGAGGAAGAAGGAAGAGGAGAGGGAGGGATAGGGACAGGAGGGCATCACTGATAAGAACAAAGACACAGTGAACTCCGGAAGCTTGTGGAGCAAGCTAGACAGAGGCACAGGCTTCCAGCAACATGAAAAGATGAGCAGCGAGAAGGAGTTTTCCGGGAACTTCCTCTCCTTGTGGTACAGCCAGGTCATAATGGGACTGTGATTACGCAGCCACAGCTCATTAAAACAATAAACAAGCCACAAAGGCAGTTACTAAGAGCCCCACTTTCCTACATGCTTTGTTGAAAGGCAAGAGGAATGGAGCCCTGCCATTTACCAGCCACACTCCTGGCATTTGGTAATACTAAGAATGATTTTAAAAAAGAGCAGAAACCCCATGCATCCTGCTGTACTGTGCAGGAGGAGGGTGGAGAAAGGAACGGAGGTGTTTGGGTATTCACGGGAGAGTATTGTAAGCAGATCTTTCTGGATAATAGAAAGATCTTGATTTAAACTTAAATTCCACATTCAGAGTTCAATTTTCTTTGGGCTCTATAGAAGTGCCCTAACTCATGCTCTCATGAAAGAGTGGCTGGCAGCATATTCCAAATGCTTCCCTAGGTGGTACATGCCTAGGAATTAATGAAAGAGGGGGAGATGCAGAGCTGAAGGCAGCCAATTGGTTTGTTAAAATACCTCATTTCTCTCACCTTTCTTCCTCGTTCATCTAACATTCCAGACAGCCTCTTTTAAGATAGACTCAAATAACCCTATAATTTCAACAATGGGACACGATGGGAGGACTAGATCCTAAACTGTCCCTTTCTAAAATACGGTCTGACCAAACTATGGGTCATTCTAGCTCTTTTTCAATTATCATGTAAGTATATCTGGGAAAAATATGATTCAGAATCATTCCCCCATCTAAACTTTCTAACTTGTCCTTAAAGACACGCCAGACATGATATCCTTTCACCGTCAAATCCCAGGTCTTTCCTTAACCATTGTGTAACCAATGGATTTCTCACTTTGCTATAAACAGGAGTCCAGAGAGAGAGAGAGAGAGAGAGAGAGAGAGAGATGAGACAGAGACAGAGACAGAGACAGAGAGAGACAGAGAGAGACAGAGAGAGAGACAGAGACAGAAAGAGAGACAGAGAGAGAGACAGAGAGAGAGAGACAGAGAGAGAGAGAGAGAGGCCTCCTTCCCTTTCCTCTGTGTTCTAGCTGATGAAGACAGATGTGGGGGCAGGCAGCTCTGATCTAGAAGAATTCCTGTTCTGCCACTTATTAGCAATAAAGTATAAATTAATTTAATTATTATAAAACATCTTAGGCAGAAAGAATACAGGGTCAAGTAAAAGTGATAAGAAAACTAAATCATAGACTTCTTGCCAGGATTAAGGAAACATGAACTAGAAAGGACCAAGCAGAACAGGTTATGCGAGGTAAAAGAGAAGATGTGGTGATCAAAAGTTATGACCTCCAGTTTTCAAAATCTTCCAGTTCCCAAGAGGACATGGATCACCTGAGGTGACATCAGTCTCCTCCCCTCTGCATCTTACTTGGATAAACTCTACCTGCAGAAGGTATTTCCCATAGACAGGTTTTCTGCATGAATATGGTAATACAGCAATAAAAATGTCTTCTACCCACTCACATGGTACTTTGAAGACCCCAAACACATCATAGATATTTCTGCCTACAGTAACTCTGCGAACCCTGTGCTGATGTTGTGTCCATTTCACAGTCTGAGAAACTGAGATGCAGGAAGATGAAGGAAGTGTTAAATGGCAAGACAGTTGTTTAAGCTTGACATTGGATTTCAGAGACAGAAAGATAGGCTCTCCTTATAAGTGATATGTGGTCCTCCATCAATTCTTATATATTATCAGGGTGTTAGTGAATGAATCCTTAATCTATTTTTTTAACCAGCACCTTCACTTGTCTAGCACAAGCCATGGATCATAGCCACAGAAAGGAAACAAGGTTCAATGTCCAAATCAAATCACTGGTATGCTTTATTATCCTAACTGGTCTGCTTTATTAATGCAGTTTGAAGTCTGTCAGTAACAGACACCAGAATATATCCAGTTACAAGCCACCAAGACAATATATATATCTATGTATGTATGTGTATTGTAGTGTGTATGTATTGTGTGTGTGTGTGTGTGTGTGTGTGTGTGTGTTTGTATTGTCTTGGGTGCCTTGTAATTGGATATAAGAATTCCAGATACTTCCTTGCATAGAGCAACAGCTGAAAAATATGTTAGGGTCTGAATAAGCAAACACATGAATAATGTGCATGTAATGTAAATAACTCATCCTAAAAGAACATGGAAAAGGGCCTATTTGCTTTGTTTACACCTAAATCCTTAGAAGTAGAACAGCGCATGCTCTTTGATGCCGCAGTGATCTTTAAAGCCCCCTTTAATATAATAAGTGATCTCTCCTACCTCCAGGCTGCCCTAGTTCAAGGCCAGGTTGCAGTTTAAGGTTGACTGGAAGGAAGACAGCACCACCTATTGAACTGGGATTTTCCACGTTCTGGAAAGAGGCCAGATGCAAGCCCTGTCAAGGCCAAGTCCAGGCACTCATGTCTAAGTTTAACCAGATCTTAAGTGAAAGGGACAGGATCCTGTACAAGACAATGTCTCTAGGAAGGGAAGGGTTCCCTTTGCTTACAGTGTCTTTCTTCATCACATATGAGCCATTGTTGGCGTGTTCCCCTGGAGGCAGGCAGCTCAGTGGCTGTCTGAGTAGTTTCATTTAGGAATCAATCTGGAATTTCCTAGGGTTCATTTTTTTCTCACAA